GGCCTCCGAGGCGCTCCACTCCTCCATTTCGTCCCTGCAGAGGACGGGTCCACCCTGAGGAACCAGCGCAGCGATGGCTCGGGTCATGTCGTAGCCCGTAGCGTGGAGTGTGTCCATGGCGTGAAACTGAGGACAAAGACAGGACTTCATGAATTGAACACTTTCTCTTTATCATTATCACCCAAACCTGCTGTACACAAGGTTTTAAATGTAGTTCACTGACTTTTTTACAGCCCTGATGTCAACACTTCAGCCTCCGTTTAGTGTGTGTGGTGTAAATGGTTCATCTATACTTACTTATGAGAACGTTTTTGGGACAAACCTGTTGTTGTGGGGACAATTTGTCCCTGAGGGACATTTTGCGTGTAAGTGTGCGTTTGCTCACTCGCAGGCTACAGAGAGACCAGGTACAGTTGTGGTAGGGGCTGACTGACAGAGATCAGAGATGGGGAAATACTGTTTATTATAAAGACTCTGATTTATTTAAAGCCCGGCAATTAATGGGAAATGCTGAGTTTGGAAATATATCATGTCAATGAGACACCAAACAAGTGTGTGTGTGCGTTTGTGAGTGTGCGTGTGAGTGTGTGAGTGTGTATCACTCACCAAGGTGATGTCTCTGGAGGCTGCAGCAGCGCTCATGTGGAGACTGGGCTGCCGGACAGAGCTACTGCAGTCCAAAGCTCTGGCGAACGTACCTACTGAACTATGGGGTGATAAAGACGACAAACAGACATGTAAAAGAGAGACAGGAAGTGAAAATTATATTATTTCTCTGTTGACTCACCGAGCTACCACAAGAAACTGGTCGATCTGTTTCTCCGTCAGTGAGCTGTTGGGGTCCCAGATCTTCTCCTCCAGTTTCTCCAAGTCTCTGTTATCACCCTCACCTGTGTGAAGACACAGCAAACACACATTAACATTTCTGGTCCCCTGTGAAAAGGCAGCATGAGAAAGGTGTAGCCAGCCTGCAACCAACCTGACCACTGTTTGAAAAGAATATGAAATATATTATTATGGATTTAATTATAGGCCCTAATGTTAACAAATGTTCAAAGGTTGTTATGAAGAGGTTTCCCTGACTGAAAAGAGACTGAAAATACAGCTTAGAGCAATGTAAGAATCACTGCAGCTACATCTGTTGCCAAGGTTGACACTCTGCTTCTGCTGCACATCATATCATACAGTAAGTCCAAGAAAATTGTCGATGATGACGGTCAAGAAAATGCTGAAGTCAAAAATGTACATAAAAAAGATGACATAGTAGATGTGTCGAAGAAGTCGTCCAAGTCATAGACACCAAAGAATAAAAAGAAGTGAAGGAAGTCCAAAAGGGAGTCCAAGGTGATAAAGAAGAAGTAAAAGGATAGGACGATGAAGATCCAAGTAGTCTGAACAAAAAAAAAGAAGAAAAAAACAGAAAAAGATGAAGGTAAAAGAAAACGAGGTTCAAGAAGTAAAGGTCAAAAGAGAAAAAAGGAAGGTAAAAGAAAACGAGGTTCAAGAAAAGGTAAAGGTCAAAAGAGAAAAAAAAGAAGTCCAGGAAATAGTCCAAGACAAAGAATTTGAAGAACCATAAGAACATTTTTACAGAAGTGGTCTGGATATAAGTCTAAGAAAAAGAGGTTAAAAGAAGAAGATTCTTCAGTGTTGTGTCATATAATGCTTTATAACTCAGCAGCTAAGACGTTGTGATGAATGAAATATGTCAAAAGTCTGATCTTGTATGTCAAAGGTCACTACATATAATATTCTTCAGGTCAAGTGACTGTCTGCTAACTTCAGCTTGTCGATGTTCTCTAGGTGACCAAAAGAGCATCAGTTATGCACAGCATAGCCATAGACTGTGATTTAAAAAGCTTTGATTAAGTATAATCAGGCTGCCACACTGTGATTGCCATGGAAACCTGATTTTTTTTTTTTTGGGGGGGGGGGGGGGGGGGGCAGACAGAAAAGTCTGCATTATTGATTGTTCATTTTCCTAAAAAACTGAGCAGGAACGTTAACAGTTAACTAATCTGTCTAAGCGCTCAGTCTGCTTTAGCAATGCTGAAAAACTGTTTTAAAGAAAAACAAATCTCAGTACACAGCAGGGTGAAGATTCCCCTGTGGGAAAAATTACAACGTTCTCCTTTACAGTAAATCTCTCTTTTGGAAACTGGGTTAATGAGCCAACCATGTAAGGATTGTGTACCTTCTTTAAGGAGGTCGGTGATGTCGGCTTGGAACTTGTTCCCGACTCTGATCTCCCCTTTATCAGCCAGCAGAGTCTTCTGCTGAGGGTCATATACCAGTGAGTAGAAAAAGGCATCCTGAGAAATAAACAAAACAAGGAAACGATGACCATTCCATGTAAAAAGGACTGGAATTTTTTTTTTTTCTCATGCTGAAACTACTCCATGTAAATAGAACATCTTGTGTTGACGTGATGAAGAACATAAAATAAGGCTTTGGTTCTCGCATTTCGTTTGGACACCTAACAGGGATCGTTCAACCTGATACTCAGGATCGATATCTGTCCGTTATTGGTCAAAATTTTAGGAAGAAAGAAGAAAAACAACTTTAGCTGGTCTGATACCCAAGCTCGCGTAGGAAAAGAATTAAATGGGGTCAATATCAGATACTCCAAGTTGCAGCATCGCTATCAGACTTAAATAAATTTAAGTCTAAATCTAATCCTAATTTATATCACTAATTTGTCACCTAGGGTGAAATAAAACCCCACATACCTCTCTGTCCAGGTAGGACTTCAAGGCCTCTGTCTCATTCAGCAGTGTCACGCAGCACTTCCCCCTGAAGACCAACAGCAATATAAAAAAGTCAATGTCACCAAAAAGACAGGTCAAGAGGGAAACAGATGGAACTGGGTTTAAAGAGGTGACGGTGAGAGCGAGTATTGAATTATAAACAGAGAATTTTATGTTACAGATGTGTTTCTTCTGGAAGAACCAGAAAACATTACATGTGAAAGGACAAGGACGCTGGAAATAAAACCCCACAAATGTCAGAGTACTGAATAAGGTAAACGTTTCCTTCCAGTTCCTTAAGGTAGAGCTCAATAGTAATAAGAGCATTAGCCTATACATCAGCCAAGGTCACACTGTTCAACATGTACAATGAAGTAACTCAAAGTAATTCAGAAACCACGCATACAGGGAGCCCATGTACTACCAATAGTACACGCACCATATATTGAGAATCCTTATCTGATTGGACATATTGCACACGAGATGGTTGAGATATTGATCAAACCTAAGGTTGCGTGCGTTTCCACTGCAGCGTGAAGGAACCGCACAAATCCTGACTGAGTGTTTCTGGGCCTAAAATAGTTCCTGTTGAAGACGCAGGACCAGATGGTCCAATAACAGATCAGGAAGAGGCCATGGTTCCATGGAGAACCCTGCTTCTCCTTAGTCAACTAGTTTGAGTTCACCCTGGTACAGTGGAATCACATACCTACGTCACATGATGTTGCTAATAATGCCGTCTCCCACAGCAGGAGGTGGACGAACATTGACTGTACCTGATGTGTGTGGCAGGTAAAGACTCCAGCTGACGGGACAAGAAAAGCTCTCTGTGTCTGAGCTGGTGTTTCTGTTTTTCTGGGAGTTCAGCCATCTCTGGATTCTCCATCTCCTCCTCCAGCTCTCCTGGATGGGGGTAAGGGTACGGGCGAGAAAGAGGGGGAGAGGTCACCCACCAGTGAAACAGAGGAGGGACAATGCAACAATGGAGCCCACAGGGAGACATTTAAAAGTTTTCAACAGACGCTGCACGCACGCACGCACAGTGTTTTTTGTGTTTTGTCAGCACTTCTTCTAACACAATTAATTCCCTATTTCTTTCTCCTCACCTTTACTAATACACATATTTCCCTAATGCTAATTCTTGCTCTAATTCTAAAACCAACTCTAAACCAAAACTTGACCTCAGGAGAAACCCTCTCACTCAGCAGGAGCCTCCATAATGTCCCCACAACAATAGTATTTTTCCAACCATTATCCCCACCTGTATAGATATACCAGGAACACACACACACACACACTTCTAAAGCACAAACGGTAGAAGGATGTGACCCTGATGAACCAGAACAATGAAGTCCCTGAGGATCAAAGTGTGTTTACAGTTTACAGTATTGGCACTACATCAGTAATTTACATCACATCTCAACAGGATCCTCTGTGATGTCATTTATGGCTCAACCACAGACTGTACTGTATATAAGAAATGGACGTAACCATACCTACACATCAATCAAGCCGCAGATATATACATATGTGTATATAAATAACATACATATAAATATACACACACACACACACGTATATATACATATATAATATTCTATTAATTATAAGGACCTCTCCCTGACAGGATGGTTTAGACCAGTGGGACAACATTACATCATGATGTCCTTACAGAAGGGTAAAGACAGGTTTAAATGCTCATTTCTGCCCTTATTTTAAAATATATACACAACTAAAGTGGTCTAAACACTGACCACAATTCCAAGCCACACCCCCCACCCCCCCCCCCCCCAAAAAAAAAACAAAAAACAAAAAACAAAAGGTTACATTGTCCTGGAGAAGAGATATCTCCTTCCATTTTTATACACACTTTTTTGATTCAACAGAGCACAGCAGGACAAAATACCATCATGGTGTAGTGTCGCAAACATGAATTGAACAAAAGAGTTCTGAAATCGCAACCTCAGAATATTCCAAAATTTTTGCCATCAATTTTTTTTTCTTGCTCTGACCTGTGTTTCTGAACTGCAGCCCTCGTGTCACACTGATAACAACCGTGTTGTCAGTCGTGACAAAGAGCCTCCAGAACCACAGCAGACATTACACAATTGTTTCACAACCCCAGTCGGACAACACATGACCAGCAAACTGACCTATATGTGTAAAAACCGCTGCAGTTCCCATTTGAGCTCGTGCTGTTGATTGAGCTGCTATTTGTCTGGTCACTATCTGCTGAATCAGCACCAGATCCTGGAGTCATGTGACACCAATTTTCTTTGAATCAAACGTCTAACCTGAGTGTTCTTGGAGCCTTGTTTTTCAAGGAAAGGAAGATCTCTGAGAACTCCTGAAAATGTGTGGAACAGGAACCAAAAACAAACAGTGACATTTAGGAGTGGCTGACCACTGCTTAATACAAATATTTTCACTTGTAGAATAAAAATAGTATTTTGTTAATAAGAAGAAAACTGAAAGTTAGTATAAATCTGCATAGCAGTTTGGGTTTCACACTTACAAACCGCCTGTCATCTTATATCCCAACATTTTGAGCACTGCTCTCCACATTATTGCAAATGTATTACGTGCTAACCTGAAGAAGTATCAGTAACAGTACTGAGTATCCGCAAGTACTTGTATCGGTTTGTAAAAAATACCTGGACTAGTAGCTGACCTGGACTAGTAGCTGACCTGGACTAGTAGCTGACCTGGACTAGTAGCTGACCTGGACTAGTAGCTGACCTGGACTAGTAGCTGAGCTGGACTAGTAACTGACCTGGGTTCTGTGTCGTAGCCCTGACGTAGGGACTAACGTGGTCACTAATTTGAACACCTCTCAGGACTATGGTCAGACAGGGTGTTCGTCTGGACTGGTATTCTGTCTCAGCCATCAACAAGTATTATGGTCTGGATTTAACAGTGAGTCTGACCTCAGCTGACCTTCATGTCACACACACACACACACACACACACACACACACAGGTGAATCAGAAACACAGTGAACATTTGTGCACCCAACGGTGGAAAAAAGACGTGAGCAGAGAGAGAGAGAGAAAGAGGGGGGAGGGAGAGAGAGAGAGAGAGAGGGAGAGAGAGAGCAGTGGGTACGTGCTCCAATTCATTTGGAGTTTCATTAGGAGGAAGCCAGACAGAAAGAGAGAGACGGGGAGCAGAACAAAAGCAATCAAGGGATTTTCAGGGAGAAGAGATGTGTGGCCAAAATCAATAAGTGCTCCTTCATTCGCTCACTCTGCCCGGCTCTCAGCACCCTGCAGACATGCTATCAGTGCCCTGGAGGAGCACAGCACCAGCACAGACACACACACAAAGGCAGGACTGATGAGAATCACTTCACTTTTTAAAAGTTAAAAAAATGAACTCAATATTCAGTAGGATTATTTAAAAAAAGAAAGAGGATATAAATAGAATATCAAACATAACAGGAAGTTGAACGAAGGTACAAAAACAAGACCAGCAGCCACAGAAAGGATGTCAGAAAGGAAAGTGATGTAAAATACATGTGCATCATGACTAAAATATGACCTGGAGACACCATGACTTCATAGACACACTTCCTGTGCTTAAATACGTCAATGGTTCCAGCTAAGAATCTACCAGGAACAATAATCTGATGAAGTCAAAATCTGGAACCTTTATTGTAAAGAAAGGTCATTTGATGTCAAGGGAGCGTTAAGACGGGCCCCAGCCTCAAACTCGCCTTAGAGAAAAGTCACAGGCCTCCCTTAAAGAGTTTATTGGGAGAAAAAAAAAAACTTAACCGGACCTCCACTCTCAACCTGCATGTTTTGTTTTTTTTTTGTTTTACAAAAAACAATAGACATAACACAGACACAAATTTACCATTTTATGTATTAATATTTGAGTTTTCAAGATGCAAAAATGAACCAAAAATTCCAGTTGTTCTTTCATTAAACCTATGACAACAAATGTGATGAGTCCATGAGTCAACTCTTTAAATATTTACTCTCATACTCCCTTTGTTTCCTAGCAGTAATGGAGTCATTCCTCCTTCTCACTGTAGGTGGAACCAATCCATTCATTCCTTTCCATGCACGTTTTCACGTCATCCTACATTCGCCTTTCATTCTCCTTGTTTCAAACCTCCCCCCCGAGTGCTTTGGCTTATTGTATTTATTTGGAGCATAGGTTCCCAAAGTAGGGAGGGCAGGCCCATCAAAGGGAGCATGAAGCTATTGTGGGGTCTGTCTAGAAAAAAAGTGGCAAAGTTAAAAGCTGTAAATGTTCAAAACTGATTATCACTACAGTTTATTACCAGAGTTTAGATCTGAAGAAGAAGAGCAAAGGACGCAGGGAGAAAAAAAAAAGGAGTGCTTCCTTCTCCTGTGATTGCATTTCAAGACAGTAACTAGTGTAAATCCAATTGAAAAGAGAGCATAACAACCAGAATCTCATTTAAACCACATAAGAAGGGTCTTAATAAACAGCAAAACAAAGTTTATTGCAACAAACAAAGATTTGTGGCTTCTGTCTTTAGTGCAAAACAGAACATTTGCATGGTTTCCTGTCATCCCAGTAGAACTACGGCAACAAAAAACAAAGAGAAAATTAACTTGATGAAAAATGAACGACAACAACACATAATATATGCAGGAGGAGAATTGGAAGAAAAGCCTTGGAATAACAATCACACCAAGAGCTTTTTGTAGACGGTGGTCAGATCAATGCTGGAATTTCAAAGGGTGTCTTACAAGATATCGGAATTTTACTCACTCTAAAAAAAAAAGACCTATAAGGAAAGAAACACAATTCAGCACTCCATAGCAGAACCAACCCTTAATGAGATAAATTACAGTAAATGTCAAAAAAGTCAAATGAAGAAAGTAGAAAAACAGCATTGCTGCTGTTGTTTTTGTTTTCCTCCAAATAAACGTCCATGTCATCCCTCACATTTACTTCATCAAAACATACTGTATATACTTCTTAGCATCTGAGAATTATTCAATCTATAACGATGTCCTTTGGGCTCTTCAATAGGAGAATTCAGTGATGTCATATTGTTGTTTCGAGCACAAATATGGCACCAAATAAAAGCTATCACAGATGGTGCCCAAACACGTGAGCGTACAGTCACACACAGTGACAATAATCAGAAGGGTGTAAAATGGACAACAATGACGACTTGAGACGATGTTTATTGTTATTTGAAGTTTTTGCTATTTTGAGACATCACTCATGATATATACGTCCTCTCAGTAAAGACATCTACTCCTGTTCTTGCCTCAAGCCTTGGCTCTGTGACATCTCTGTAACGACAGTGAACATCCCAACTCAAAATGGCACCTTGTGGGCTCATTTTGCAACCACAAAGCCTTTACCTATAAACGGTCTACGGTAGCGACACAGAACTTAGATCCTGCAAACAGGAGAATTTCGCAGCATGGATGGTTTCAAATCTGTCCCCAGGGTAGGCTAATAGTGGTCCATCAGTTACACAGTCCTTCTAACAGGCTCCTGGCTGTGTGTCCTAAAGGAGCAAGTCAATTCCCAAACCTCAGTCCTCCTCCGCATCCTCCTCCTACTTTCCACCTCTGAGCCAATCTCCTGACAGTGCACCCACACCATACTCTCTACAAATTGCCTCTCCATCTCACCTGTCCTGGCCAATTATCAATTATTGATGAATGGGTCGCCTTACTGGGCTCTGAGACAGCAGCAAGGGGGGAAGCAGAGGAGAGAACATGCCTGAGGGTGAGATGAGGGCTTGAGGAAGCAGATCGTGCAGTTATTACCATAACAAACTGACTACACCTCCACGATACGGTTGGAGGAACTGAAGGAAACGCAGAGAGAAGGTGACAACTGCATCTATCGAGCTGCCTGCTTAAAAATGAAGCTTTTAGGAATAATTAACCCCTAGCTGAGG